GGGGGTGGGGGAGAGGAGGCCCTGCCTTGCCCCACGCCAGACACGCCGGCGCCCCGTAGCCCTCACCCGCCCTTTCTCTGCTGTGCCGGGTTCAAACGGTGTTCAGATGGCGGTGCTGTGGCACAGCCGGGGTGAATGTGTGCGGCCCTGCAGTTTGGGAAGAAGGGGAAGCCTCCCTGTGAGCCACGGGGCCTTCGCCTGGTGTCTCATCCAGCCTAGGCTTGTTGGGGATGGGGAGGCAAGGGAATGGGGGGTGCTGAGGCGGGGGGGTGAGAGGTGCCGCGAGGCCGCTTCGGCAGAGCAAATGGTGGAGCATCCTTGTCTTTGGGAGGGCAGCCAGCCCTCCATCCTCGCGTGGCTGAGATTCCTGCATGTCTTCCCTGGCTTTAAATAGAGCGGCTGATTCTGGTGAGTCAGGTGTTCAGAGCGTGGGTCCCAGCAGCGCTTCTGAATTCTCAAGCGTGCCCTTGAGCAAGTTCCTTCTCATGCGGTGTTTCACCCTTCTTCTCATTAAGAAACATTTAAGTCTCGAAACAATGAGCTTTGGGTTTATGATGTCCTAAAGCAGAAGACATTGTGATCCTCTGGACTTGGCTGAGTAACTGCAGAACTCCCTTAGCTAGACAGTCACCTAATCCCTTTCCAAATTCCATCTGCCTGTTGGAGTCTGTGTGACAGTGAGGTCCACAGTATAGCATGTGCAATAAAGCACATCATTTCATTGCTCTTAATTAGTAAATTTCCAGTTTTCTGCCACTAATGCAGTTGTGCTATGTCAATTTTTGCTCACATGTATTTGCTGTCTTCATTCCCAGTGTTATTTTGTATATGCTATTATCTTAGTTTATCCTTTGAACTCTATAGTCACTGCATCTTAGCCTTTCTTAATATATTTTTTCATATCTCTTATCTTTCTTCTTAAGTTTTTCCTCATCCTCATTTTCCACTTTGGTTCCTGAAAAACTGAGAGTTTGGGTGGTGACAAGCATTGCTAGTGGGAGCTTTGTCAGTCTGTATCCTGTCCGCAGCTGTTAAGCGATAATCCTTGAATTACAATTACTTAAAACCCAAGAGATGAATAAGATGAACAAGAAGTTTGGGTTATTGCTGCAGTATATAGCTGATGTTATTGTTTTACCTAGTGAAACAGATCTCATTGATGAAGGAACAGTTGTTCACTTAATCTTCTAGTACAAGAACTGGGAACCATCAAATGAAACTTGTGAGAGATTTGTTCAAAACTAATGCAAGAACATAGCTCGTAACACAGTGTGCAGTTAAACCGTGGGACTGCTGGCCACAGGATATTAGAGGGTAAAAGCTTTTTATGTGTCCAGAAAGCATTTTTAAAAGACTAATGAAAAAGAATGTTTGAAGGCTATTAAATGCAATGTGACATTTCTGGCTGAGGATATTCCTGAGCTGAAAATAGCAGGAAGCTGGGAGAGTGTTCTGGAGATTAATATTTGTCCTACTCTTCCAGAGGTGATCTTTTTTTTTCTTGTGTCCTAAGCAGAATGCTGGTTTAACTGCAGATTTTTCTGCCTATCATTGCTATTCTTAAATGAAGATCTTCAAGCCATTTCAACTTTTGGCTAGCCTAAGTAAGGGTTGAAAAGTGAATTACCAGTAAACCTTGTCACCTCTGTGCATGTTCTTGTACCGTTTTCATGTCATTGAAAAAACGTTTTGTTTTTTTTATTATTATTTCTCTCAACTAATCCTCTTTTTCTGCCACCTCAAACGTTCGAGTTTTCCTTTTAAAATGTGAAAGCAAAATCTAGAGGCAAGTACTGTTTTCTAAGATAAAATTGCCTGCCTTCTTCCATTAGCTTTTTTTGCCACTGCTTTGCTCTGAGAGTACATGTTGTACTGGTGGTAAACTGCTGCTCTTCTCCATCTTTTGCCAGAATTGCTTTTGTTCGTGCTTCTAGAGTAAGGACTTCAGCGGTTTGGTTTTGTTGAACTGGTCTGTTTAAGCCCAGCATAAGGACCCTTGGTGACTGCTCAGTTTCATGTGTTTTTTTGTTATTTACCAGTTGTTGCAGTTTTGCTCAGTACTGTGACAATCTTTGTTACCCATGGATTTTGTCAAGAGTAAAATGTTACCTCCTGTCTGTTGATGGAAAAACTGAAAATTGTTAGGTCTAATCTATAAGTGATTTTCCTAGACTCTTGCAGGACCACCGCTGTTTGATTCTTTACTGACAACTGGTTTCAGAGCAGGGAAAGAATGGGGCTGATATGTTTTGGTTTTTTCTTCTTTTTGAGATTTTGGGGTCTAATTTTAGTCCATTTAGCATCTATGCTGTAGACAGAGTGCTAAGGCTCTAAGTATGTTTTTGTGAGATACCACGCTCACTTTTTGCAAAACTGCAGTATGTTACTTCTTTGTGGTTGCTTTTGTGAATCTAGCTTTTGTTTCGTAAGTTCCATTAAAAAAATATACACCCCACCCCACCCCCAACATTGATTAGTACAAAGTGTCTTTTAAGTCTATAGTGATCTGATTCCGTAATTCTCTTCTGGCATGAATCTCGGGCTATATAACCTTACCAGCATAAATTATTACAAATACACTTTTTTTTTTTTTAGTCCTGGTAGACATTAGAGGTCTTCTAGGCTAGTATATTTCCCCAGTCCCCTGATATCTCTTAAGCATTTCAATCTGTAGGTATGAAGTCTCCTCAATCAGCTGTTTTTAATATCCATGGCCATGGGGTTTTTGTGCCTGCTGATTTTAAAATCTTTGTTCCAATCAGATTTTGTTCAATTTTGCCCTCATTAGTATCGGACTGAAAAATAGCTCATCCCTTTGTGATGAGAGTACATAATTTTCCGTTTCTCCTGAAACAGAATAATTGTGGAGACCAATGCCTTTCATACACTGTGAGAGCTGTATCATCATGACTCTCTTACTGCTGATTAAATGACCACCATGCTAAGAAGTAACAATTTCTTTAACTCTTATTATTGATTTTAAAATTCTTTTCTTTTATCTATACGTATCAGTAGCTTGAGGAACTTGAACTTCGGAAACTTTTATATATACTGGAGGCATGGGTTCAAATTCATATCGTGACCATGCTCAGGTAGGGACTTCCTGAAGAAATAAGGTATTACGGAAAATATTACATAAACTTGTGTCTCCTTATGCACTGTTAGAGAGAAAAATCTTTAGGATACCAAGCAATTGCTTCTCTAAATGTTGTCCTGTTGTGGTGTTTGCTCAGCTTTTAGATAAGAAGTTGAAATTGCTCTATTCAAGACTTCTTAGACATCTTGATCTGTCACCACTGTACTCAATCTTCTCCTGAACTGGAAACTATACTTCTGGTCAAGAAAACAACAGGCCTGTAAGTCTGGAGCCTCTATCAGGCAAATTAGTAGAAACTATGGTAGAGGACAGTACTGTTGGACATCTGAATGAATATGGTCTACATAGGAAGAATCGGCATGGCTTTTGTAAAAGGAGGCCCTGCCTCCTGTGACTCCTGGGTCGCTACATAGGCTGTCTTGGTGTCCGTGCTTGATCACCTTGTTCATCCAGAAAAACTAAGCCAGGACCTTTACTGCTTTGCTTTGTGTTGTCTTCTGAGCCCAAGCTAAGTTCTTTGGTGATGTTCCACCTAATCCCAGACTCCCACTACTCATCATATGTTCTGAAAGAAATTGCTGCTGATCGGCTGCTCTGCAAGTCAGCACCACTGTGTAGATCTGCAAAGGGCTTGACAAAGCAGCGTGAGTGTAATGGAGAAGCATAACTAGTTGCTAGCATCGTTAGCTGCATAACCTTCTAGCTGCCAAATCTTCAACTCTTGGACTTCATTGCAATGGGCATCCAGGCCTCTCTTTTTTTTTTTTTTTTTCCTTTTTTTCCTCTCTCTAACCTGCAGGAATTAATAAGTGAAGCCCTAGCAGCAAAGGCTGTGAGAGCAATGTATGTGAGCACTGAGCTGTATAGACTTTTTCAAAGTAATTCTTCAGAACTCCAGCCATTTGTTGTCCTGTACCACCATACGTAATTCTGTTGATACACTCGATTCTTCCCTGATATCTTGTAGTTCTTTGGTTGGCTTTTCTTTCTTTGGAGCAGAGTGAACTTTTTTAAGCCTCCATCTCTTGTGAAACAAAGCGAATTTGGCTGTAGCAGATATGAACAACTCTCTCTTCGTCAAAGCCTGTTGTAGGGCTGTTCCTTGCAAATTAGTCTCAAAACAGTCTTTCGGGTACTGAGCATCCTCTAGAAGAACAGGGTTGTCGGCCAAAGGATCTGGAGGGACAGAAGCTGAGAACTGAACGTATCAGTTCTGACTTGTGCCTGGGTGGCAGAAACGGAAAAAAGGGATATGTGTCCTTTCAGCATTACTGAGGTGTGACTAGACTGACTGATGGTGATGGTTTGTGAGTTCCAAAAATAGCTTCCATCTGCTAGAGGTCATGGTCCTGTTTCATTGAGCATGTCAGGCTGGGGGTGAGCCTGGCTGCTGGCAGATAGTACAGATCTTGCTTACAGGGCCTTGCAAATGTGGGGCTGAATGGGTTATAGGTTGAAGACACAGGCAGGCTGAGGGGTGGGAGAGTTTTGTGCTGCCCTTCACTGAGCCAATGCTGCTGCGGGTAGGTGTGAGGCACGGTGCCTGGTGATCTCAGCAAAAGGTATTGCAGCGAGGTTGGGCAGCAGAAATGTTTGCTCTGGGAAATTCTGAATGCAAAGATCAGCAGCTTTGAGCTGAGGGACTGCTGAGTCCCTGTGGACTTGGAACTGTTTGTCTGAAATACTGAGTGAGGTTTCAGAGTGAGGCTGCCAGGAGATGTCCCAAGCTAGGCCGTTATTACGTTAATCAGTGTCAGAGCAGGAGGTCATGTGTGACGCAAGCTGGGAGACCTAACCTCCTCTCCTAGATGGAGAGGTTGTGGACAAGCAGGGTCAGAATTATTGCCCTGTTCCTGCACAGGGGTCATTCTTGCGTGTGCTGTTATATCCTAGATGTGGTGGCACAGCTGGAGCCATCCTGACATGTCCTCTGGAAGTGGTGAAGACACGTCTACAGTCATCCCAACTGACACTGCGGCCTCTGTGCCTCTCAGAGATACAGCTGCCGGGGATGAGCGTGAGGCTGATGAACCCAACCCCACCATCTCCTGGAGTTCTCAAGTTGCTGAGGTGAGTAGGATAGGGTATTGTGCATGTTAGCACCAGGGAGGTGATGGTTTGGCCTTCAGGTGGGGGCTGAGAGAGAGAGAGATGGAAGTAGCATTTGAGCTGAGTCTCTGGAAACTGCAAGCGCGGTAGGAAGTTTCATCAGAGCACAGGTACATCTACTTATCACAGTTGACCTGTGCTTTGAGTCTGCAAGGCAGCTTTTGGGACTGTGAGAAATTTCTCAGCTAGTGGTTTGATCAGACCCAGAGTGATGGTGTCAGCAAGAATCGGAAGAAATGACTGAAGGAGAGGGGAGAAGTGGTTGGAGAGGAAATGAGATTAGGGCAGAAAAAGGAAAAAAGGATACCACAGGATGTGAGGAGAGGATGCTATAAGAAGTACTGAAGAACAAAGAAGGAGGAGGGCCCCCATCTTAGTTATTATGCTGATTTGTCTGTTCATTTCCTTCTGTAGGGCCATCCTTGAGAAGGAAGGCATGCGATCCCTGTTCCGAGGTCTGGGTCCAAACCTTGTTGGCGTTGCTCCTTCCCGGTAAGTACTGCTCCCTGAGGATAGCTCATGCTGTGCGCTTTTTAAAGGACTTCTGTGACAGCTATTGTTCCACATACTGAAAGCAGTCTGGGCCTTATGCTCATCGTGCCACAGGACCCCTTCACACACGCATTTTCTGGACCTTCTGTTCGTAGTTGTAATATATGATTGCTGTGGGCCTAGTATAAATGGTATCTGATGTCACACTAGACAAACCTGTGCTGGGAGTAAGAAAAGTTGGAGTGAGACCCTGCAGCAGTGCTGTCGCTGCTCTTCATAGTTAAGCTCTAACCTCTTCTGTATTTCCTTCCAACCAGGGCTATATATTTTGCTGCCTATTCTGGTGTTAAGGAGAGGCTCAACGCTGTCCTTGTACCGGAGTCCAAGAAAGTACACATGCTATCAGCAGCCTGTGCAGGTGAGCCTCTTCTGTCTCAAATCAGAGCCAAGGTGTCCTGTCTGTCAGTGTAAATGGGTTTCATTCCTTCCTCATTGCTGCTCCCATCAGTCCTGCTCTCTTTTCTGAAGTTTTCTTCCTCCACACCTGGAGCAGTGAGTTCCTTGGGTAACCAAAACATTTTCTCACTCTTCATTCTTCTTAGGCCTGCCTCTTCAAGTCATGGATCTAGTCTTTACCCCTTCCACTGCTATCAGGAAAAGAGCTCCATTCAGCTCTGAGAGGGAGAAGGCAGTGTGTAATTTAGACCACTCACAGAATAATTTCTCTTGATATATCCCAGTTCTCTAAAAATCTTCCACTCTTGCATGTTTAGCCCGTTGTTTCCTGCCTCTTTGTAACACCAGGGCCTGTAGTAGGGTTATGTTGGAGGCAGAGGAGCTAATTACCACCAGACAAAGGCTGGAATGGGGGAGGAGGAGAATCAAATAGTCTGCCCTAAATGTCTCTTCTCTCATGGGAGCTCAAGGTCATTCTCAAATTGCAAATGCCTGCAGCTTGCCAAGCAGAATTCAGAGAGCTGATAGATAGGCACCTCTTCACAAACTGTCAGTGGGATCCTGGTGCTCATGGCTGTCTTCCTCTTCTGTTCTCCAGGCATTACCTCGGCCACGCTCACCAATCCTATCTGGTTAGTGAAAACCAGGATGCAGCTAGAAGCCAGGTGAGGCAGGCTGGTGATGCAGAGCCACTCTGTGTTGAATGAGGACTGGCTTGGGGGTGGGGTGGGGTTGGGTAAGGGTCTGTAACTCGCCATCAGAGCATAGGTCTTCAGTGCATGCTGGGGAGGAGTCATACAGTTGTGTTCACAACAGCATTTTAGGTCAGTGGAGCAGTATGCCGTTCTAACCCTCCCTCCTCTTTACAGGGCGAAGGGAGAGATTGCCAGCAATGCTCTCCAGTGTGCCATGCATGTGTACCGCACTGAAGGCCTTCGTGGATTTTACCGTGGTATCACTGCCTCCTATGCTGGAGTGTCGGAGACCATCATACACTTTGTCATCTATGAAGCGCTGAAACAGCAGCTGAGAAACAGCCATCATTCCCTTTCGCCGCCACTCACACTTTCACCAAACAGCCATGATTTCTTTAGACTAATGGGAGCTGCTGCTGTCTCCAAAACATGTGCTTCGTGCATTGCATATCCACATGGTGAGTAGATGCACTCTCCTTGCTTCTGTTCCCCTCGATGGGAGATGCTGTGCCTGTAGGATCGATCTGCTAATATCACTTCCTTTTTTTGTCTCTCCAGAGGTCATTCGGACACGGTTGCGAGAGGAAGGATCACGATACCGTTCCTTTATACAGACTCTGCAGCTTGTGGTCCATGAAGAGGGACCCTTGGCTTTATACCGAGGGCTCCTGGCTCACTTGATCCGCCAGATCCCAAACACGGCTATCATGATGGCTACCTATGAACTCATCGTACATTTGGCCTCTTCCACCTTGTAAGCACACTGAGCACCTGGCTGAGGCTGCTGCAGAGATAACAGGGACATCATGTTCCTGAGAATTGGTCTTTTTCTGTGCTCTGAGAGGTGGTACTTTTTATCACATATGAGAACTGGGTCAGGCATAGCATTCTCAGGACATAAGACTATTTTGTGCAAAGTTTTTGGCTCCAATGCGCACAATGTAGCCTTTCTTCTTTCTGGAGACTTGAATTATTCTGGTGCTGCAATATGTCAGGGCACTGGTTTGATATTGCCTGCTGTAAGCTCCCTGTATGAAACAAGGGCATGGAACTTACTAGAAAGGAGACAAAGGAGAAAGCATGAGTATCTTAGGCAGCCTCAGCATGTTCACTTCTTTTGGACCCAGTAACAACCATGCATGGGCACAGTTGGACATGAAGACAGGCTAGACCTGAGACATCAGAGAGAACTGCAGCGAGCAGAGATCTTGTGCTGACGCCTTTCGTGCCCTCAGAGGGGCTTTTCCACTCTTGCCTGCTGTGCCACCTTCCTGCCCCTAAAGAGGATTTCTCAACCTTGGCTGCCAGGAAGTGTCCTATTGCAGAATCTTCCTTTGAGTCCTTAACATGTTGCAGCCATCGCCCCAAGAAGTGTCAGGCAGCCAACAGCCTCTTTTTGTCTTGCAGGGTCTGAATAATCAGACCAAGTAGACCAAGGGAAGAAGCACAACCTGCTATGAAGCACTACCCTAACAACTGGTGCTACTGGGCTCATAGCCATGCTTTGCCAGTATCTTGTGTTTCCACCCCCTCCATTCCCAACAGAAAGAGGAGGACCCCTCTTTCCCGCAGACATGCTGGAGCCGTTCTGCTACAAGGTGGAACCCCTGGTGTGAAAAATAATTCTTTTATGCTGGTAAAGAAAGTGGATCAGGTGAAAAGATGAATGAAACTGAGGATTTGGCCTGTTTCTATTGATGATACACTAAGTGTATGGGGAGCCTTATTTTTTTTTCTGTAATCGAGAATTCAGTTTGCTGCATGTGTTACGCTTGCCTGTGACAGGCTGGGATGCCTTCTGTTCTTCCCTGGGTTCCTAGCCCTGTGTCCAGGGGAAGGCTACATTGTGTTTACAAAGAGGATTTTGATTCTCAAAAAGGCGGGGGTGGGGGTGGGGGTGTTAAGTTCAGGCGTGATGTGTTTTTCTTGTTCCAACACATACACTAAAAAATGTAACCCTTCCCCGAGATAAAGCAGTAATATCAGTAAATACATGCTCTGGACAATCTCCAGTCTCACAGTAGAGGCTACACTGACTGTTTCTTTCCCTGCTTGTAGTGAAAAACTGCAGAAGCCCTGAATATTTTATTTGAAATCCATTTATTTTAAAATCCACTTTTTTCCTCATCCTTCTTACCTTCATTCATTTAGTTTAGGAGTATCGACAATTTTACAAAGCGACACAAGCTGCAGTGGGGTTTTTTTGCATGAAACGAGAATAAACCTCAAACGACAACATTGAAAAAATATACAATATATATATATAATATCTGGGGAGGGGTTGTGAGAGACCCCACTCTGAGCCCTATGGCTGGCTCCTCCTTACAAATTTCTGTTCTTTCCAAGCCTCTCCTTTCCTCATCATAGTTTGGACGGTGCCACTGTCATGTGCAAGCGCCCTAACACATGTTTCTAGAGAGCCAGATGGGGGGTCAATAATGTGGGGAATGTCCACAATGAGAATGGAGGAAGATGAAGGAACATGGGAGGCAGAAATGACAAATGAGGGAGGAGCGCATGTGTACACGGTGGGGGAAGGAAGAAGTTAAAAGTAAGACACCTCCTCCTTCCAGCCATATGTTTTGGGGAGAATCCATTGGACTGGTGTTTTAAAGCTCCTAGTAGCGGTGAGACCCGTTGCTTTTGCCGATGATGTGTCGGTCATCCACGTCATTGCTGTCCGGGGAGTCGGGTGTTTCTGAGTCGGTGCTGTCGTCTTCGTCCTCCATGCCCTCAGTAGCTCTGCCCTCGCCGCTTTCTGCTGCCCTCTCCTGGCAGCTCTGGTAGGACTGGGGAGGTGAGACACAGGGTAAGGGGAAGGATCTGGCAACCCAGCTGCCCGCCCAGCCCCAGCCACTGTGGCTGCTCCTCACCTCCATGGGGTTGACTATGATGGTGAGGGCCGAGTCGTCCCAGAACATGTCACTCTCTTTGCCTCCAGTGCTTGTGTGGCCCCCTTCAGCAGCCCCAGGGACCTCTTGCCCCACTCCCCGCCGGTGCAGGGAGTGGATGCGCAGGATGCCAAGGATCACCATGAGCGCTAGGAAGCCCACACACACCACAATGATGACAGTAGCAGCACTGGGGACCACTTTGCAGAAAGAAAATGAGAAGGTGTGGTTAGAGTGTGTCACAGAAACGCATTTCCAACCTGACCTGCAGGAACTGGGGTTTCGGGGCACAGGTTGGGTTTTTGGTCTAGGCAGGAGTACATCCTGACTTTTCCGCTCCCCTGAGCACAGGCAAGTTCGTGCCTCCAGCTGCTGAATCTTCAGTTGAGACCTGCATGGTTTTCCAGGATGCCTAGGACCAGGCATCCTCTGATGTCGGCCCAGCCTGCACATCTGCACATCTTTATCTACAGAGGTCACCAGAATATGTGGCACAGCAGGCATGTCCCTCTTGGGAGGGAGAAATGTGGGCTGGGGAGAGCCTCTAAGGGCATGAGGATGATTTTCAGAGGATGTGATTTCTGTACAAGCAGTAGAGAAAGAAGGAAGCCAAAAGACGACTACTTTGCACATGGGGCAGAGGGGAGGGCTATGATGGCCTCTAATTACTGCCACGGTCAAAGCCTGACTTCTCTACAGGAGAAAACTTGAAATTCATTTAAGACCATTAGCCCAACTCCCAGCCCTTTCCTCTACACCTGTACGCCGAGCTTTAACTCCCCAGAGAACCACCTTCCCTGCAAAATTTATCCAGGCCCTCCGTGGGTTTGTTCTGGGCAGTTCTGTACAGCAGGAACAACTTTTCCTTTTCTGCTGCGATTGGGCAGAGCTGGGGAAGCGAGTGACAAAAGGCTGTTTTTTGGTGCTCATCCGTAGGCTGTCCCTATAGTGGCTCAGTGCCAGCTGCAGGACTGGACCAGCTTGGGATCAGCTGCTGCAGGAAGCTACAGCAAAAGCTAGCACCAAAGGTGCTTTCCATGTTCTCTACAACAGGGGGCCAAAACCAACGCAGGGTCCTCTGTAACAGTCCTAGAGCTTTCACAGCCTAGGAGGAGCCAAGTGGACTGGGGTCGTGCTTGTGGCACAGGGCTGCCAGCACAAACCAACAAATCTAATCTCTAGTCCAGCTTTCAGGCTTCTCTCTCCTCTGTTTTGGGGGCAAGAGTCTTCCTCTTGTCTGTGTGGTGCCATCTCCTATATTTTTCTGCCACCACCTAGTCCCATCTCTCTTTTTTTAGAGCAGTGGGAGTCTCGATTCTCATTTCCCTCCTGCTGTTGAAGCTTCTTCCTGAAATTACATTACCCAAGCCCGCGTAGCAGCTTTGCAAGGTGCATGAATGAAATTGTACCAGCTTATGGTTGTTCTTTTTAAACCTTCTCAGGTGCAGATTTCAGACTGCTTCTACATCAAGAAAACAACACACCAAAAGAGGAGGATTGTTGCACCAAGCTCTAAAACACAATTTGACACAGACAGCAGTCCATTTGCTAACGATGAGTGGGACAGGACAGTATAATGAGAACTCGGTAACATGGCTATAGGGAGCCTGAAAGGAATCCTCTGCTATAGGTTCTACCAGGATATCACAAAAACAGCAGCCTGACCTAAAGGAATAAACCCAAAAGATAGCGTTACGTACTTGGGTTGTTATGAGTGCTTGCCAAACTGTGCCCAGATAGCTCTGGGGGTAAGTGATGGCCTCGGTGCAAGAACTGCTGGGAACTCAGAATATGGTTAGGATGAGCAGCTCGGTTCATGTTGTGGAGGACATTCACCTGCAGAAAGACCGGAATGAGACAGACTCAGCCCTCTGCTTATGATACATTCTACATTGTGTGCATTCCTGTCCACCATGTCCTCTCCACACATGCACAAGCACCTATAGGTGCATGTATTGATCTCGTACCTCAACAGTAAACTCATTGCTGGAGTAGCGTCCATTCATCTCAGTGCAGGACAGGTGAAATTTCCTTTCATAAAGGGCAGCACCACGGTTGATGTGGTATGAGACCTGGCGTAGTATTTCCTCGTAAACTGCAATGCTCTCCACACCTGAAAGAAGAGAATTGGCGTGGAGCGAGGAAGCTCCTGCTTCAAAGTCATCTGGCATGATAACCCTGTAGTACCTAGGAGCTATAGAGGAATCCAAGGCAAAGCTGGGTTCATTAATTTTAGGAAGGGAGCAGAGAGGGAGTTGGCTGCAAAGGACCTGATGAAATCCCTGCTTGCATTGCTAAAACAAGTGGAAGGGAAGAAAGGATCAAGAGCAACAGCCTTGTTATGTTCTGGAGAGTACAACAGTGGTGTACCAGTCCACAGCCTGTGGGATGTGCTGTCCCCCAGTCATGTCATGCAAAATGCTGCTGGCACCTGAGCACACCAAACCCCAAGAGAGTAAGTCAGAAGGAGTGATACAAGCCTGGGTGAAGGCTCAAACACCATGCCCTAGTACTGTCTGCTGGAGGAGGAGCCACCTCCCCAAGGAAATGGCCCGGGACTTCCAAAACCCAAGGGCTCAACAAATGGTTACATCTCAGCATCTCACAAAGTACACCAACGCATCTCTAACATGGGGTTAAGTGCTCCTCCCAGCTATGCCTGACAGGCAATGAGAGGTGCAGTTAGACAGCTGTGGCCAAGGAGAGGACGCACCTGTGATGGTCAGATAGGCAGAGGTGTTGACAAGCTCCAGGCCCCGCTGCTGCAGCAGCGCCCCATCCAGGAGCAGATACTCCCTCTCTGGGTCCAAGTCATCTCCTACCAACGAGATCTCGCAGCCGTCCAGGTTGTGCACAATCTCATCGGACATTCGTGTGTCTGTCACTGAGATGCAGACGGAAAGAAGACAGGGCCAGAAAGCCAGGCAGCCATCAGTGAAGGCAGGAGGTACTCAGGGTGGTACCCGCTTACTTAAAAGTGCTCACATCATACGTAATGATTTGTTTTTCTCTGGCTAGCACTGACCTTGAGTAAAATCACTGTCACTCTAATTACTTGTTGGAGGAGTCCCCCTGCTTCTAATGACATTATTTATGCACATAATAAAATCACTTTATTTTGGAACAACATACTATTATCAGACTGGTTCACGATAACACATCTTGGCTGTAAGGACTCTGTTGACAATGACAATGTGCAAATTAGGAACAACTCCATCGCACATTCCCAGGCCCTGAGTGCTTCTGAAAGCTCTCCCCCGTCTCACGACTGCTGGTTACCATGGTTAAGATCTTATCTTCTTTAAAATGGCAACCACATTCAATGACTAACTGCTTTCAGCAGGGCTAAGACCAACCTGCTCTAAGTCAAGAAACTCCTCATTGTACGAGGAAAGGCAAAGCTGCTAAACAGAAAACTATGAGCAAAGAATCCCATTACCAGAAGAGATACGAAAGAAGTGAAAGGACACGTAGAGCACAGAGTGCAGAGAAATAATCTGAGGATGATGGAGAGAAATCGAGGGACAAGATATTACAGGGTGTGAGGAAACTGACTGGGGAATTCACAGGAATAAGTGATGCGGGAAGAGATGGGAGGGGGTGAGAAATAAGGAAAGCAGGAGAGAAGGAAGCAGGAGGAGACTGAGTAAGCGCAGGAGTGGAGAGGGTAACAGGCAGGGCATCCATCCAGGGCTGGATTCAATAAAGGGAAATGTAGGTAAAATGCAAAAGAGATTAGGAATGAGCAGCCTGGGAAAGGAGGAGGAGAGAGTGAGGCAAAGGAACTGGGTGGATAGAAAAAGTACGGGGAGGAGCAGAAAGGGATAAGAACCGATTAGCCTACATTGGCAGACAATGTGCCTTGCTTCTATATTTGTAAACTCTCTCCTATTTCGGGTGTAACGAGGGGCTCTACTTCCTCTGCAGGACAGCAACTTTTGTAGGTCTTTCCGATTTGTCTCTCATAGCTCCCCTCTACTTTACTCACCGGTACCATGCCAATTCTCATCCTTCTTGGCCTCCACCTGGTGAGAAATAGAGCAGGTGATCTGGAGGTTGGGGAACAGGGGGACCCCATCAGGGGCCTCAAAGTCTGACGCAGGATGAGCGAAGTGGGCATTGCCACTTAACAGGATCTGGGGGGCATCAGGCTGTAGCACCACAACATAACCTTCCACATCAGGAATGGAGACACAAGACTCTTCACTGAAACACCTGAAGGAGAACCATAGAAAGCATCAGCTGGCCCAAGCTTCCACCAACAACACTGTAAAAGAACAACTCCTACCCATTTCTGCCAGTGAAGGGCATGGTAGTCTTTGGACTACCATTAGAAAAATGGAAGTTTTTCTGACAGTCTTCCTAAAGTTTCCCTATAGCCTGCTGTGCAAGACGGAGAGGTGTGGTAGGAATGACATCACTGGGTTTCAGGTGACTTGGTCACATCCACACACCACAGAGAAAATTAAAACCAGCCCACAAGCCTGGAACACCATGAGTGAAGGCAGAAGTTCTGCTACCTGCATAGACCCCAGGACCCCCTATTACAGTGTTCTTGGATATTGGATACTTTAATATTTCTTTTCAGGAAGACTTTTACCCATTTCAAGACCATCAGTTAGAATTAAAATACAAGGTGGTGAAGGAATGTAATTTTAGTCCAAAGAGAGGTAATCCTCCCACTGAAGTCAGCCAGAGGGTACTGCTTTATCCACTCACTTGACGGCAGTGGTGAGCCTGAGTGGCCGAACTCCAGGGGTAGCAAAGCGCAGTGAATTCATGTAAGCCACGTGCTGGATTGCATGGTTGAAGGTTTCCACATCGTCACCCTCCAAGGTGAGCAGGGACTGAGAAGGGTTCACATGGACCTACAGGTGGAAGAGAAGAAAATACTCAGGGTTCCTTGGCGAATGCCAAGCGTCCAGGCTGAGTGAGACACAAAGGAGAAAGGTGGGTCATCGTCTGAGGTGGGGGAGCAGGCAAAGTCCTGGGAAGCAAGGCTGGGGAGGAGAGTGGAGGAGACCCATGCAAGCTGGGCAGATGGGCGTACCTTCATCCCTTTGCCCAGACTGTCGAAGTCACTGTAATCAAGCCCCTCACGGCAGGCATACAGGCATTCAATAACCTCCCGGCTCTCCAAGCTACCAGGGCGCACAGTGAAGCCAGCCAAGTAACCATGGAAGTAGTGGTGTATTGACAGAGGATCTCCTGGGGGAAACATGGGAGGTGGAGGGTGTGAGAGACATGGCGAGGAAGAGAGCAAAAACAACAAAAGCAACAGCGTGAGGGACATACAGATGTTAGGGGATGTAGAGAGAGACAGAGGGGTGCACAGGACATGGAAAAGCAAAGACAAGAAGACGGGGGATGCTGAAGTACGGATATGACAATTTTTTGAATTCCAGATGAGGGGAAATGAGAAAAACAGACCAACAGAAAGACGAGGGCAGTGAACAGTGGGTAGCGTAGAGAAGTTTCTGCCAAACTGCTGAATGCCAGATGGAAACAATTTCTTGTCCCCTTCTCACTCTGCTTCCTGTGAGGGCTTTTAAAAGAAACTATACATTCCATAGATAGTTAGGGATGAGGTGACATCTCCTGATGTCTCTAATGGCTATTGTGTTCTTCAGAGACCAACTTTAATGATCAGGCATGAGGACTCGTTTCTCCACATGAAAAGCATACTGCATCTCTCAAAGCAGGCTGTAGTCCTCCTATCAGCCTTTTCATGCTCCACAGGTATCAAAGTATCAAGGACCAATCTGCCAAATAAGGGGTTTCCTCCCAAGATGATGGGAGGTGGCAGGACAGGATTGGGGGAGCTGTATGAGGAAGGCACCATGCAAGAAGTGATAGTCATGCACGGTGAAGAGGGGAAGAGAACCATCTTCTTTCTTTTCCCTACCCTGCACAGGATCAGTGGAGTTCTCATTTCCTTTAATTTTCTCTTTGTTTTTCTCCTCTGCAAAAGAAGAACATTCAGACAAGCAATAAGGCATTGGAAGAGGGTAATTACAGGGTCAGGCAAGTACCTATACAAGTGCCTGTATCGGCCAGTCCAAAAGAACAGCCCCGGAGTCATGGGCCAAGCAGTGCACCCTTCAACCCTAGAGACAGCACATCACAGATGAAAGAGGGCAGAGTCCCTCTCCTGAAGGGGATGGTGAGACTGTAGGATGAGTAACTGATACAAGGGAGAAAGTACAGGGTTTTTTTTCTCCTTTCCCAATGATATCTATTTGGGGAATTAATTGATTCCCATTTATGGAACATGGTCCCAGCCATGTTTGCAACAAGCCATGTTCTCAACATTCCTTTGAAACTCAGATGGTTCCAGGAGGGTGTCCCAAGCTGACTAATGTTTGTTGGTTGCAAAAGGCCAATCGAAAGCACAGAGCTGTGGGGTGGGAAGATCCCTGACCTGGGAGAAGCAATACTACAGTAAAGATTTGATCTTGCTAGAAATTTCTGCTGGAGTGAAGGCAAGCAGCAGGCAAATTCCTTTAGTTCTGTCCTGCTTCAGCCTTGCAGGAGAACTGAAAGGCTTGGAAAATACAGCCATACATCTCTACAGAACGGGTTTTAACCTGGTAATGGCTTAACTGTGTTCTTAACCTGATCTTTTGTCCTCCAACCCAATTCCTCTACGGAATGATTTGTGACTTCTTCATATAGACCCTCAAGATGCAGAAATCCCCATCAATACAACCAGCAGCACAAATAGTATCATTGCCTGCTCTCTGGTGAAAAGCTTTGATAGAAAAGCCCATGCCTGAATGAGGTACAGAGTTTAAACTCTCCTCTCCCTGACAGCTGGTTATCCATTGCACGTTCTACTGCTGTTGTCCAAGAAGCTGCCAGTGACACTTGTCCCTCAGCTATTATTACTGCGTCCCGCTGGCTTGGTTCATAAGGAAGGAAGGGACCACATTGGCTTTGGTGCCAAAGAGGCAAGATGACTGCAATGGGGTTTGCATCGTTTAGGATTGGGTGGTGTTTCTTTCACCTCTTCTGTCTCCCTTGTTTCCCACATAGGAAGAGCATGGTTCATGGAGTGGGCACTCACCAGTCCAGCAGGCTCCAATCATGAGCGAGGGTTCCTGCCGTGGGGGGTGAATGAGGCCATTGTCATGGATGAGGGCAGGGTCATAGGAGACACCATCCACATAGAGCGTGACGGTAGGGAACTCCAGGTTGAGGGCATAATGGTGCCATTCATCATCACAGACCTGCAACAGACAGCAGAGAAAGGGATCAGCAAAGGGCAGGAGGAAAAGGGACATAGGGAAGAGCCAAAACTGCTTCCTCACCTGCTCAAGCTTCCAGAGGAATTTCACAGGCCTCGCACTTTCCAGCAATGGCCAGTAGAGGAAAGCAATCCGGCAGCCATGCACAGCCAGAGAGTAATGCGAGTAGCCATCCTCTGCCAGGGACAAGCACCGGGAGTTAGTTACATGTCACACCTCGGAGCAGTCTCCCTTACCAGAGCCCGGAAGCACACGCTGCCCGGCACAACCGGCACGCAGCACCACGTGCTCACCACGGGCTTGACTGCTCCCAGAAAAAAGCGACACTCGAAGAAGCTGTGCTCCTAAGGATGGACCCCACCCATGTCCCACTCTGGAACACAAGACATTCCCTCCCCTGCAGGGACAATCCCTTCTAACAAATTAGAGGCAGCGGGCAGAAGTGTCACCACCCCAGGAGAAGCATCTCACCGCTCTGCACGGTACTGCAGATCACCGTCTCCTCTTCCCGCCGGCCTTTGCCAGGCACCACAGCGTGCTTCATCCACACGGACAGGGTGAAGTGGTCACTCAGCCCCTCGTGAGCATTTGGCCCATTCACCACAGGCACCTGGGCAGCCTGGCTGCCATTGAACCAGTAGATGAGGCT